TGAAAAAGATGTTTTTGTTTGTAGAAATTGTAGACTTTGTCATTAGAKTCCACCAGAAGTCCCTCAATGACCTTTACCATCCAGATTTGCTTAATATTGACTTGTTACACTTCTTTTTTTGTTGACAATGAGATATAATTTTATATTCAACAAGCTTTCGACTTATGTCTGTCCAGATATTTGACCATTTTACTTGTTAAAATTGTTTGAATTCTTTTAAACTGCTTAATTTTTGTGCAAACCAAGCATTTAATCAGAACCAGCACATTTACGGTTAGAGGAGAAAGAGTGAGAATCTTTAAAAGAGTTTACGTTCAGGTGCTGTGAAGATGACGATGATGATGGTGGTGGTGGGCTCATTTCTTCTCTCACCTCTGTGTCAAGATGAACCAGAGCAAACAGAAGATGAGCCTGGCTGGGGAAGGCAAACAGACGACTGGAAGCCAGCAGGAACATCATCCGCCGCAGCTCTGGACTGAAATCTGCCGGTCCTGTCCACGTGGTCCAGGTGCCAAGCYGGGGTTAGGCTTCAGATAAGGCGCCTAAAGCACAAATGTTTAGGATATTATAACAATTTAAAACAGAGTGAAAACCTTCGAAGACGTGTGTCGTGTACATTTGACTTTTTATTGGTTCAAACCTGAAAACAGCTGAAAACTCAGAGATCTGAAAATCATTTCATTTCTCATTTCTTGTTTATTGAAACAGGGACAACGCACGCAGAAACACAGAAACACAATCAAGTCTGTAACGATGTGTTGCACAAACAGTACGCAGCTAATTTGCAACTCCAGTCCCTGGTTGGGCATTTCTAAACATTAAAATGCAAACAATTTATCCATCCACAAACACTAAAAATGCATGCATTTCTGCCAACAAATTTATGAAATCAACCAACCACACAACTTACAAATCCACACAATAAAAAYGATCAAAAAAACATACAAAACATGAAAATGCATACAAGTTAAAATTTTGAAACAAAAACAGTTCAATAAATAACCTTAAACCTCTAAAATCATACACATCCTCAGTACCTCKCCATCCTCTCACATTCAGCTAAAATTTGTTACTATAACTCGCTAACACAGAGGTGCCCAAAGTGGGGCCTGCGGGCCAATTTTGGCCCACCAAACCATTTGATTTGGCTCACCAGCAGTTGTCCTGGTTACTAGATTGTGATTATGTTCAGAATAAATATAAAAATACAAGTCAGAGACATTTAGATTAGATTAGACCTTAAAAAAACCACAAACTCAGATTTTAAATTATGTATAGTTTCATGAGCCTTTACTGCCTGAGCATACATTGAATTTTCTAAAAAGAAATAAAAAGAACGTGGGCAACCACACTGGCTGCTAGCTTAATCATAAAAATAAAACAACTTCACTTAAGAAGTATTTGCATTTCTTAGAGTATTGCATTTGGCCCRCGGCCCTCAGATTAATTTTAATTTCGGCCCTCTTAGAGAAAATGTTTGGGCACCCCTGCACTAACACATGCAGTCCTACTCAGACTATTCTCATCCATTAAATTTGAATACTAAAAACGATCGCATCTTTGGTTTTTAACCAAGGTTTAGTCATGTGGATGAATTTTTGAAATTTAAGTGTAGCTTTTATTTGCGGAGGCAATAAGTTCCACATTGTTGTACTTTAGTTTGAAAGGTCTGACCAAATGAAGCTCTATAGGGGGATTGTGCACTTCTGTTGTAATGATCCTCTAGTGACCATGTAGCTGTTTTGTCTTTGTATAAATGAACTTACCGGATCAGGAGATAACTTATTAATACATTTAAACATTAATTTAAGAAAACATAGGTTACAGAAACATTCAAAGTCATTAGATTATGTTTCTTTGGGATTCGACAGTRATGAGATCTTACTGATTTCATTGTTTGGTTATACAAAAATTCCATATTTGCATTTTTGAAAAAAAGATGCAGACTTGCCTTTATTTCAAGTCAAAACTACACTTAAAAAACAAATTTCTTAATATTTACATGCTCCATATATATTTATCCAACAATCATTAGCATTTTAGCTACTTTGACATGGTACGGTTGGATCAATTTGTAAAAATGAATCAATAAAAAAGCTTTTTCTTTTAAAAACCATCCTTCATATGTTATCATTGGAACAATCATCGCAAACCGGCCTGAATGCATCATTGTTTAATAAYGTTGATTGGCAGTGCAGCAAACCGGCATCAGGAAGTGGCCGGTGTGGCTGTTAGCACCTGGTGGGGGACACAGGTGCTGACTGGGACACCTGGACTGTGGGACTTTACGCTGCTTGTGACRCTGCTGGGTTTTACACCGGGTTACCTCACCTCGTATAAAAGGGGTCTCTTTGTCCAAATGCAAAGTCAGTGACGGATTAGGAAACGGAAAAGAATTGTTACCACCAGATGAAAGCACCAGCGTTTGCAGTTGTGGATTCTRGTTTTAAGGAAAAGAACACTTCATTTGAGAAACTTACACCATCTTTTTTTCTCGTTTCTTTTATTTCGTAAAACTCGGTGCCAGCAAAAGAGAAAATCTTTCGATTGCTCCTTAAACAGAAGCGGTGGGGTTTGTTTTTCTCTGCTTGCTGTGAACTCGGGTCCAGGCTGTCGGGCAGAGAGACAGATTCGGGGCCGGCGGGAGGAACGAGGCGTCCGAGATTTGGTTAGTAACACAAACCGGCCACAACACAACACCGCAGAGCTCCACGGAAGCTAACACCTATCTGCCAGCTGAATTCCTGCTTCAAACATCTGTTTTTGTTTTGTAGGTTTTGGGAGCCACCATAGCAACAGTGTCGCTACTTATTTATGAGACTGATATGACCGTGCTACTGAATCACCTCGTATTTTTTATTGTCATCAGTGAGCTTTTTTTCAAGCTTTTAATTAAAACCCAAACCAAGCAGCTGCATTTCTGCTTTTCAAAATCACTGAATTATCTCCACGTCTTTAAAAACTGACAAACGTCATGTGCAGCAAAGCAAATGTAAATTTTTTTAATTTGCTAGAGACAAAAACCTGTTTGTTTTTTTTTTCTTTGCCGTTGAGCAGGGCAAATTTGGCCCTTAGGCAAGATTTTATGTGGTGCCCCCTTGTGCGACTTTCTAAATCTCACTACCAATTTCACATACGCAATTAAATAGTTTTGTCTTTGTTATTATTCTTTATCTTTAGAAACTATATCACCCAGTTAAAATAGTTAAYAATATACATCTCATGTAGAAACAATGCAGACTGAGAAACCCACAGAACAAGTTTATAAACTTGAATTATCAGTGATTATACAGACTACACCAACCATAGGTTATGACGCAAAGTTATAAAATATATTTTTTCATCTATCATTTGTGGCGCCCCCTAGACTGACGGCTCCTTTAATGTTTGCCTATACTGCCTATGGCCACAAGCCAACCCTGCTGTTGTGCACATGCAGGTTTGCTCTCGGCCATTTAGGTTRTAAAGCATTGGTTTTGAGGCCTTCAGTAAAACAGAGACAGGTCTTTTTATGAACTGTAGATGTGTTCAGTTCAAATTTCGAAACACTGCTCAAAAAAATAAAGGTAACACTTTAACAACGCATGCTAACTCCTGATCTTAATCAATGAAATATTCGCATTGAGTACTTTGTTCTGTACAGAGTTGAATGTTCTTCACAAAAGTTTGATTTACTTGGACTTAGTGTGCATTGTTTAAGTGTTCCCTTTATTTTTTTGAGCAGTGTATTTTAATATTAGATATTTCATGGTGTTTGATGTGATGCACGAAAATAACTTTGGAAAAACATCTAAGTACTTGGACCCTGTTTCCACATGAAYAAAATATGGAAAATGTTAGCATTTTTCTTAAAATAATGCACGTTTACACAAGTGATGTAGTTTCCGCTCCAGGTGCTCTGATTGTTGGATTTCAACATGACGCGTGCATTTCGACAATTTAGTTTTCAAGCACGACAGCAATTACATCCCAAAAAGGTGAAAACATGAAGGTTGAGTTGCTACATGTTGATAATGGTGAGCAGCATGAACAGCACTCTATCTGCCATTGTTGCTTTTGTTTATTGCGCAGCAAAACTGTTGACTGCAGCCGTCTAGCGCAATGGTTCCCAAACTTTTTGTCTTCTGACCCACAAAATATTCATGGCAAAAACTTGTGACCCCAAATATTACTGGTCTGAGTATAAGAACTTTGTTAATATCCCTAAAAACACAGGCTTTTTGACAATCTAAACAGCTTGTACACAAATATAAATACTTATTTATACTTATTTTGTGATTTTGTAAAAGTTATAGGGAAAATATTACATCGGCAATTATTTTATTACCCTTTAAATTGATTTCTGGAGATTATCCAAGGTGCTTCATGACACATGATTGGGTCCCAAGCCCAATTTTGGGAACCAAAGTGCAGTGGTTCCCAAACTTTTCAGCTTTTGACCCACAAAATAACAGTAACAGAGACCTGTGCCCCCAACTATTTTTGGATGATAAACATTTGTATCAGGTCAACAAAACATGGGCATAGTAACAATATGTTTTATACTACATTTATCCATTTTAAATATACTAACCTCACTCATTTATAACAACTAAGGCAAAAATGGAATCAATTCAGAAAATCTTTTCAGGACCCCACCTTGATTTTTTGGGACCCCACTTTGGGAAACACTGGTCTAGTGCGCACATCCCAAAACTTTGGTGTTTGAGAAAGCGGCCATGGTTATTGTGAGCGCAAACGGCAGAAACGCAGAAGAAATGCTAAACTTGGCCTAAAATAAGACCTGAGTGAACAGGAGGATGGGTCGCTGAGTCAGCAGAACAGAAAAACTAAACAAACCCAAAATAAAAGTCCTCCTTAAGATTTTCTTAGTATTTCATTTACCACAACGAGGTCACATTTTAAAGAAGAAAAAGAAAGAAAATAAATTTATGACCAACTAAAGTCTGACTCTTGTGAGCCTGCAGACCAGCCCGGGTCAGTGGTCTTGGCTTACTGCAGGTGTGGCTTTGATCTAAGTGTCAATATTTACAGGTTGATGTAATAAAGAGGCTTAAACTGCTTTATTCAAATCACCGCCATCCTGTGGGCCTCAGTACTGTGGCCGCGCGCAGCCAATCAGAGACAGGCCCGCAAAGATCAAAGAGGAGCCGAGCCAACCGTGTCAGCTCCGAACACCAGCTCCCTGATGGAGCCTCATATATTCTGGAGCCGCTCAGGATGACCGGCTTCCAAATACAGAGTCTGAAGGAGCGACCTGRAGSKTTTTSAGTGAGTTTTCCTGCACAACATCTCAGCCCTGGAGCTGTTTGACACCATGGCGACAGGCGCTGCCGAGTGCCCCAGCAAGGCCGCCCAGTACCGGGTGGACCACCTCCTCAGCGCCGTGGAGAGCGAGCTGCAGGCCGGCAGCGAGAAGGGSGACCCCACCGAGCGGGAGCTGAAGGTGTCGCTGGACGAGCGCGAGCTGTGGCAGAAATTCAAGGAGCTCATCAATGAGATGATCGTTACAAAGAACGGCAGGTGGGCAAAGTYTGGAAAACATCAGATGCTAGAATTCTAGAGTTATTTCTCTCTTCTTCTTTATTTTTTTATACCTTTTTAAGGCGCATGTTTCCGGTTCTGAAAGTCAACGTGTCCGGACTGGACCCGAACGCCATGTACTCGTTTTTGCTGGACTTCGCGTCGGCGGACAACCACCGGTGGAAATATGTGAACGGGGAGTGGGTGCCCGGAGGCAAACCCGAACCTCAGACCCCCAGCTGCGTGTACATCCACCCGGACTCCCCGAACTTCGGGGCCCACTGGATGAAAGCTCCGGTCTCCTTCAGTAAAGTCAAACTGACAAACAAACTGAACGGCGGAGGTCAGGTAAAAGATGGGCTCCTAAAACCACAACCTAATCACCCAGCTGTTTGTTTTACGTGTTTTCTGCTCCGCTTTCTAAAGATTATGTTGAACTCTTTGCACAAATATGAGCCCCGCATCCACATCGTGCGGGTTGGAGGCCCGCGGAGGATGATCACCAGCCACTCCTTTCCGGAGACGCAGTTTATTGCAGTAACAGCTTACCAGAACGAAGAGGTTAGTGATACCTAATGTTCCTTAGAGTTAAAAACAGCATTTAACACTATTAATGTGACGCAATAAGATGGGAACGGAGTTTTCTCTTCGTGCGTAAAGTACGTGCGTAATTTACGCACAGAGCGTCTAAATGTTGCACCTTACTTTTAACCATTATTTTTAGATAACGGCTCTGAAAATAAAGTACAACCCGTTTGCCAAGGCCTTTTTAGATGCTAAGGAGAGGTGAGCATTAACTTTAAAAGAAGATTATGTAAAAACAAGTGTCCAGTTGGAATTAAAGTTTTTTTTTATTTTATTATTTTTGCAGGAATGATAACAAAGACAYGAGGGAAGATGTTAGTGAAAACCACCAGTCTGGATACTCTCAGTGTAAGTGTAAATGATTTCTAACTTGTGTAGCCTCCTCTCAGACGGCAGTGTTTGYCTCATTATKTCTCCTGTCCTCTGTGGAGCCAGTGGGCAGCTGGTTTATTCCAGGAAGCGGACCCCTCTGCCCTCCGGCCAGCTCTCACAGCCAGTTTGGGAGTCCCATCTCCCTCTCGCCTTCCCACAGCTGTGAGCGCTACTCCACCCTGAGGAGCCACCGCTCGACGCCGTACACCAGCCCTTACAGCCATCGGACCAACTCGCCCAGTGAGTGTCCCGGGATGTTCCGCATTCCTCCTGCTTTTGTGTGAGCGGAGCCACAGCTTCAGGCGAGGGCTGTGCCGAGATTTACCCTCCAACCGTAGGAAAACAACAGAACYTCTCTTCATTTTCTGGATCTTTGTTTGGGTTGCAGCCGGATACTCGGAGAACTCTTCGACCTGTCTGTCGATGCTCACCAGCCACGAGAACTGGTCCGGCCTCCAAGTGCCGACACACACCAGCRTGATGCCCGTCGGCCACAACTCTCACAGCTCCAGCGCCAACTCCAGGTTTGACTTCTGCTCGTCTTTCACACTTACAGGAGAGGCACGGAGAGGACGAGACAGAAGAGTTTTGGTTTATATTTAGTATAAATTGTATTCTCAGTTAGACAYTGATGATCAAACAGAAACAATCTGATAAACACGGTTCATGTTGACAAAATGAACAAGTTCTGATTGGTGAAATAAACTGAAGTAAAACTGTTAGGACTAACTAACAGGTGTTTTGTTTTTAGTACTTTTTTATTGATTTATTTCAGACATGTCAAATTCACTGTATACCTGTATATTTATACTTATATCCACACATGTACACAAGTGCGTACACACATATATTGAACATATAATTTTATATCAGTAACAGTAATCAGAAACTATTTTAACTGAATGTACACAAAATAAATAAATATATATCCAATGTGCCCTATCTATACCCACACACAAACACACACACACACACACACACACACAC